TTTTTATCCAGATGGCTTCCCCCCTTGCAATGACACGGCGCCCCCTCTAGGGGGCGCACCCCACAGTTTGGGAACCTCTGGTGTAGGAGTTAAAACCGCATCTAGTTTCATGGCGAAAAGGTGAACTTTGACCCCAGGAAACCCCCGATTAGCAGGCACGAAAAACGCAAACCTTTGATAGCTTTTAATCGGCCATGCCTTATAGAAATCCATAGGAGGAGTTCGATCAAACGGCTGTAAACGGCCAAAATGGGGTCAAAATCGGAACTTCAATCCAAAGTGTCCGACTTCCTGTGATACTTGCACTATGACATTAATTGTAAATTCTGAGCGTCTTGGCAGCTCTACAAGTGTATCAAATGTCAAGTCTGTACAATGAAGTAAGGCATTGGGAAAGGGTCTGTTGAAAGTTGCTAGGTGGCACTGTTGAGTCGTTTCTTTTGCGATTTTAGCTAAGACCTTAAAATACTAAATTTTCACGCAGACTTGACGCGTCTGCCAAGTTTGGTGAGTTTTTGAATATGATAAAGCCCCCAAAAAGCCAATTTATTTGGCGGAAGCATAATAATAAACAGTATGAAAACAATAGGCCTTCGCAGCGCTTAGCTGCTCAGGCCTAATTAAAAAAAGGACTCTTTACAAAATACAGTAAGAACAGGTTCGTGACATCCAGCTAGACTCGATCAACGTCTTACACCAAAATAATAACAAAATGGCTGACTCTAAATCAATCAACTGTTGAATTCTAAGCAGCCCCATTTCGCCGGCCCAATTGGAACCACAGCTCTTGTGGTTCCAAGGAGCCGGGTCGGAAGTTCTAATGCAAAAACGGTCGACCCTACTTTGAACCCGTGCCGTGCCGTTCCGTTCCTTGCAGTGCAAAAAGTGCTCAAGTTTCTTCGCTGGCCTGGAACGCCTTGGGATTCCCCCAGAGGACCTGGAACAAGTGGCTGGGGAAAGGGAAGTCTGGGCCGCCTTACTTAGGTTGCTGCCCCCACGATCCGACCCCGGATAAACGGAAGAAAATGGATGGATTAGTGATGGGCTATCTGAATCCAGGCTTCGAGGCGAGTACCGAGTAAAAAGGGGGGCATGTCCGATGAAGCCCCGCTTCAAGGCTTGTGTCATCTTGCTGAAAACCACTTAACTGGTAACAAACGAGGCCTCGCATTGAATGGGTCTCTTAACTGCTTCATTTTGCGTGTCGGTTTTCAAAATAAAAGCGCAATGAGCCTTGCTGTGTCATGTGTTGTTGTCCATTTGGTCACGCATCAGAGGATATTTGTCTTCAGTGGCCAAATAAAATGAACATTGACCAACATATTCGATGTGTATTGATGGCACTCATAAAAATGTTTGTTACTGGTTTTCTCAATTGTAGATTATGTTGTTTTTTAATAACTATATTGTGATTTTATGATGTAAATCTCTTTGAACTGCATTGTTGCTGAAACGTGCTGAAACTTGATTGACTGAAATGGAGCCAGCAAGAGGAAAATCTGACATCTGGGAATATTTGAGATTATCCTCACAATAAAATTCTTCTTAGATAACAATAATTAACCCCTCCACCTCCCAATTTCTCACCTTCTGCAAAGTTCCACTATTATTTGTAGTCTGATTAGGAAAGATATATCAGTGTTGCACAGCAGAAACAGATTTAGTGCTGTTACAGAACTAAAATTCAACATGTAGCCACATATAAGGGATGAAAGCCAACTAGAAATCCATACAAAAGTGAACGCCCAAACACTCCGAAGACATTAAACATCAAATGTCTTTATTGTCCGTCGATGACATAAAAGAAAACCCAACACAACCACTGACGTTCAACATCTGGAATACTCATCTATGTGAATAAAGACTCAATGTGTGAATATAACACTGAAGAAAACTCACAAATTGATATCACCGTGATGATGCCGTTTATGAATATTGAAGACTTGTAGTCAGAAACTAAAAGGTTATTGCATAATTAAACAAGTAAAGTGAAATAAAGTGACTGTACCTGAGCTGTGAGATAAAAGGCAGAAACTGCAGGAAACTCCTCACTTCACTCTCTCCATGTGAGCAGTCTGTCAGCTCCACTGGTTTCTTCTCTGGTTGGAGTTTCATCACTTCCGGGAGGATGGAGGTCTTTCTCTCTGAGAGCTTTATGGTCCAGACTTTAGGAGCTGCTGACTGGAAAACTGACTGTAATGATGGAAGGAGACTCAGACCTGATTTAGTCTCTCTGTCCTTCATCTGGGAGTACAGATCCAGGAAGAAGTCTCTCTGATACATGACATAATCATCATCAATGTATTCGTCCCAAATGGGAAATGTTTCATATCTACACACTGAGGCTAACATCTCCAGCATCTTCTCTCCTGTCTGCTGTTCTCTCTCTGCTGCTGCACAGAACAGATTCACTAAAAACCTGGATTGTTCATGAAGATCTGAGCTCTGATGATCAAACCTGGAACAACAAGAAGGAAACATTTAGTGATGATTTGATCTGAGCTGCATAAACACAACCACACACTACTGATGGACTCAGCAGTGT